CTCTCCAAGGACTGGTCTCTCCTCACAACATGTCCAAAGTATGTTAGACGGATTAAAAAAAAAAAGCTTACAAGTGAACAAACAATAAAGATTCAATAAATAAAGAGTGAGATCCATGAAGAGATTTGGTCACTGACTGTTCTCAGCCCTTTGTCTGTCCATCATCATCCATTCGTCTATCATCTACCCCTCACCCATCCATCCTTCATCTATCCACCAACCAATTGTTTTCCTCTTACCCATCATTATACGTCATTACCCAACAATAATCCCTCCACCGTCCATCTAGCCAGTCTTCACTCATCCATCCATTCACCCATCTACCAGTTACCCATCCACCTTTTATCTCTACATCCACCCACCCATTATTCACAACCCATGCATCATTATCCAGCATCATCCAGCAATCCATCCATCCTCCATCCAGCTTCCATCTTCACTCATCCATTCATTTATGTAGCTTGTGGCTACATGATGGGTAGACAGATTTTAAATGACTGGATGGTCAACTTTGTCCACCATTCAACCACCTTTCTACCACCCAGCCATCTTCCCACCATCATTCCATTTCTCCATCTAACCATCCGTCAATCTACCTATCATCCAAACATCACCCATTCCCTTATCTATCCACCAGCTTCCTTCCAAACAAATTCCAAAGTGCTCCCTACACATCCCTACTATTACTAAGTTTTTGCGGCTGCAAATACTAGTGCAAACCAAGACATAAGTAAATGATACTCAAAACCCTAGCCTTACAAAGTTCAAACTTCAGTCGTCCTTTCCTCCTCAGAACAAAAACCTCAGCCTGAAACCCAAGCCTTGCCCCAGGGGAGTAGAAGTCAGACCAGAGTAGAGCATGAAGATGAGAAATCTAGAAAAGAGGGGCAAGAAAAAACCTTGTCAGGAAACCATGGCCCATTGGGCTGGGGTTCCTGAGGCCCAGCCCCTGCTGCCCATCATTCAGATACAGAGCAGCCCAGAGAACAGAGAGGCTGCTTCTAAGTCTCATGGTTCTCATTAACCTCTACCCTGTCTCCTGATTATCAGTGTTTTAATTATTTCCCCTGTTACAAAGATGGATCTGGCAGGATCTGTGTTTTTTTCGTCCCATGGCACTTAGCAAAGTGTCTGACGTATAAATAAATGATGTTTGATAAGTAATTATTAGGTGGTTACATTGGTGGCAGATGAGTGGCAAGTTTAGTAGGTAGAGGGAAGGACAGTTGGAAAGGTGGATGAATAGATGGTTAGCTGAGCGATAGATGGTTAATGACAACAAAGGATTTATGAATGAGTGGACAGTGGATAGGAAGAGCTCTTTAGAATTCCCTTTTTGTCACCTCCCCATCCAAAGTAACAAATGCTAGGCAAGCTCTGGTAGCCTAGTGGCAAGAAGCTGTACTGCAATCCCAGAGGTGCACGGTTCGAATCCACCAGATGCTCTGCTGGAGAAGGAGGAACAATCTCCTCCTGTACTAGTCAGATCTGAATTGACGGTACACAAGGCCGGAAAAAAAAACCAACAACAAAAAACCTAGTTAACCAGCAACTAGGTGCCATAGTAACAAATTCTAGTGGCTCTGTCAACAACTCTGGTAGTCTAGTCCATAGGAAATTGTAACTTAGCCTGCAATCTCTCTGGCAGTTCAAATCCCTCAGCCTCTTTAAGGAAGAAAGATGGACAATCTCCTTTCCTGCAGTTTTACAGCTTCAGAAACTCAGCGGAGGGGCAGCTATGAGGCGGTTCTGACTCGATGACAATAAGTGAGTGATTAACTCTCTTTTCAAAATGTATCCCGTTTCTACCCTCTTCTCCTGTCTCTACTGCTGCTAACCCTTATTCAAGCCACTATCACCTTTTGCCTGGATTATCCCAGTAACTCCCTAAGTGTTCTTCCTGCTCCTGTTCTGTGCTACACCCAGCAGCCAGAGTGATGATCTCAAGGCACTATTCAGATCATGCGAATTCCATGCTCAGAGCCCTTCAATGGCTTGTCATTGAGTGTCAGATAAACCCCAAACTCCCTCAAGTCCCGTGTGACCTGGTCCCAGCCAACTCCCTGGCTTCATCTCATCCTCACTCCCCCTCTCCTTACAGTCACTTGGACGCTCTGTTAGGCCCCTGCTTTTGTCCTTGCTTTTCTAACTAGAACACCTGCCTCTTTGCTCCTCTAACCAGCACACACACCACTCTCTTCTCTTCATTCAGCATTCAGTTCAGCTTTGTATAGAACCTGTCAGTAGATAAGATGGAATGTCTTATTTGCTTATTGGTGTAATGTCTCTCTCCTCCCTCTCTGGGTTTTAAGATCTGTGAGGGCAATCACCTTGTCTGTCTGGCTTAATAACAAACTGCCAGTGCCTAGAACAATGTAAGAGGCCCTGGTGGTATCACACCTTAGGAACTGGGCTTCTAACCAAAAGATCAGCAGTTCTGAATCCACCAGCCACTTTTCTCCAGAAAGGTAGAGTCTCCTCCCAAAATTGACAAACATGATGGAGGGTCACCAGGAGTCAGATTCAGCTCAAAGGCACAGTGGATTTGGTCCAGTTTGGGTTAGAACAGTCTGGTCTGTGATGTATAACCCGTGAGTATTTGGTAGTTGGACAAATGAATGGACGAGTCACTGAGTGGCGGAGATGAGAAGTGACGGGAAGGATGGATGGACAGAAAGGAAGATGGGAGGGTAAGCAGATGAATGGATGGTGACTGTCTGCTGAGTCAGAGGCAGATGACACAGTCGATCAGTCACAAAGCCCTTGTATCCAACCCCAATGCATCCCCCACCCCCCAAGCTGTTCCATCGCCCCTGCTGGGGGGATGCAGTAATGCCAACAGATCACACTCTAAGGGCTTACCCAGCCATACAACATACCTTATATGCACCACGTCATTTAATTACAACTCAACTCAATAGGGTAAGTACATTCACACTTTCCAGATAACGGGTAAGGGAAAAGGGGCTCAGAGAGACTAAACTGCTTGCCCAAAGGCTAGGCAGCTAGACAGTGATGGAGCCAGGACTGGACTTAAGCCTTTAGATTAAGTTAAGCTTCACCACCTAAAAATGTGGTACAGAGGGTGGGCAGGGACTGGTAGGAGAATGCAGGGTGTCCATGCTCACAAGTCTTCAAACAATACCTTCCAATAGGGACTTAGGAGATGGGTCAGACACCTGGACAGACAATGATTGGGACCAGTGCCCAGAACTCCCATGGACCATAGAGGAATCCCTGGAGGAATTGACAGTTTATTACCCAACAGGGAGGCTCAGGCTTCTTCGACAGGGCTTCCTCCTTGGCTAGTTACTTGATATGGACAAAACTATTGTCTACAGAGGGGGAAACTGAGGCCACCATAGACCCTAAAGAAATGTATCCAAACCTGAGAGACCAAAACAGCGAACAGAGGATGAAGGGTCCCAGAGAGCAAAGAACTTGCAGGGACCAGAGTGAACATGTCACCTGCGGCCACCAGGGGGCGCCTGTCATCCAACAAGAGGGGCCGTGTAGAGTCCTCTGACTGTGCTTGTTGAAGGTGTGTCTTAGTCCCTGGGTCACCTAGACCCTGCCCTTGATCCTGCCTAGGGAAGCTGAGTGGAATAAGGGTGACTTTTTCTCTAAATTAGATTTCCCACCAAGAGGATTATTTCTTGTGTAAAAGATGAGCAGGAAAAGGACTGGGTAGCAATCCTGTGAGAAGCTATAGGTCCCAAACCCACCACCTGCTCCCAAGCCCTGGTGCCATCAAATCAGGTACATCTCACAGCGACCCCGTGTGTTTCAGAGTGGAGCTGCACCCCGTGGGGTTTTCAGGGCTCTGGCCTTCCAGAAGCAGATGATCAGGCTTTTCCCCCCAAAGTGCCTCTGGGTGGGTCCCAACCTTTCAGATCCAATTCACCTGTCCAACTGTTTATGTAAGTGAGGGACTCCTAGCTTCCAGGTGGAGCCCTTTATGATGGCTGCCAGGTGCGCGTTCCAGGTAGGCTGTGTGCAAGCTTACGTGCGAGCTCTAACGGTGGGCTCCTGCAGGACGCGTCCTGGGTGTGGCCAGCCGGCTGGGACTGCCACTGAAGGTCCACAAGTGCAGTTACAGGCGTGACTGAGCCCAGGGTGTAGCCTTCAGGTGGGGAACCTTCCTCCGTCATTCTTTGCCCTGTGGGGTTGCAGACCCCCTAATGGCCAGCCTGTTCAGGTCTTTCTAACCTCTGGGAAATCTCCCAGTGAGACCTCAAAGTACCATTTCTGGTGACCTGTCACAGCCCCCTGCCCAAGTCCCAATCTCTGCTGGGTCTGAGGTGGGTGGGTAGGCCTGGCCCCTTCCCCCACCCCTGGCAAGCACAGGTCTTTCCCACCATCCTGCTGTCAGCAAGGCTAGCTGTACCCTCCCAGGGGACGGTGGGCCATGTCAGGAGACTTTTAGTGGTCTTGGCTGGCGGGGCTACTGGTGAGTGGAAGCCAGGGATGCTGTAAACATCCTATTGCAGAGAATAGCCCCACAGCAGAGACAGAGCAGCAGCTCAAGGCTGGGAACACTTCTAACCTCGCACGGGAGAGGGAGGATGAGACACTGGGGAGCTGAAGGTGAAGGAGTGATGACAGAAGCAGAGAGGAAGAGGGGGGGTCCTGCGGGGTGGGGCAGATAGAATGAGCTCCATCAACCAGCCAAGGCTCCTGACTCCTCAGCCTCACTGTCCCTGTTCATGAAACATCCATGGTGTTGGACAAGAAAATATACGTGGAAGGAACTGGCCTGGATGCCCAATAAATGCGGCCGGGAATGGGGAGGTGGAGGATGTGAACACTCTTCCCCAGAGCTTCCGCCACCTGATTCTCAGAATTCCATGTCTAACTTCTCCTTGAGCGGTCCTAACTTCTCAGAATTCCAAACGTGCCCTGGAACCATGTGGGTTTTTTTCTTCCCAGGCAGGAGACCCACTGGGATGCCCAGGCCGGCAAAGGAAAGTGGGGGTGGGGGAGTGGGGTCCTGTACTCACCACTGTGGCTTTCCCCATCGCTGTTGATATAGGGGTAGTAGTCGTGTGTGGGGCGCTGGTACAGGTCAGCTTCATAGGGAACCAGGTCTTCTGTCGGCTGCTGACAGAATTGGGGGGCATCAGGGCCTGGACTAGGGTCCGCAGGCACCCCCCCCATCCACCTTCTCTCACCCAGGGTCTCTTTCTGCTTAGGTCTAGAGAGGCCAGAGCCACAGTGAGGGGGCCGGAAGCTCAGGAGAGCAAGACCCTCCAAGGATGCAGAAAGGCATGCAGGGAACCTGGAGGTCAGAGTGTAGGCTTTCTGCACCGGCTCGGCCCCCTCACACGCACACCTGTGTGTGCGCACGGTCTCACTGGCCCCCTCACCCTGTTTGCACTCTCATCTCTCACACACAGAGGCTGCACAGACTTCCTGGGACCCACAGACACCGTGGTCGTGCACGTGAACTCTCGCCCCAGAATCACACAAGCTCGTGCTCACACTGCGCTCATGTTAGTCCCCACATCCTCAGCCCTGACGCACACACGCTCTCTCACCCTCATGGTCATACAGTAACACACTCACAACACACACTGTGATTCCTGTGCACATTACACACGCGCGCGCGCTCGTTTTCACACACACACACACACACACACACACACACACACACACACACACAAGTTGTCATTTCCTTGCTGCTGTGTTCAAGCCTGTGAACAAACACTCATTTACTGTGTGCCCCACACACAGGCTCACCCTCAGCACAGCACCTCCTGCTCCCTGTAGCCCCCCCAGGACACAATTCACAGACGGCTTCCACTTGGGGCTGAGCGGGCTGCTAGAGCCTTGACCTGCTCACCTCCCTCCTCCAGCCCCCCACCCCCTCACTGGGATACCCCCTCTCCTGACTCCCTCTCCTCCCCTCCCAACTCACTCCTTCCTGCACTCACTCCTCCCATCCTCCTCTTCCTTCCTCCCCCCTCCACACCTCTCCTCCTCCCACTCCTTCTCCCCTCCCTTCATCCTCTCACCATCATCCCCTCTTCATCCCTCCCTCCTTCCCTCCTCCCTGCTTGTCCTCCTCCTTTTCTTTCCCTCCCTCTCTTCTCCCCTTTTCTCTCCCTCCTCCCTCCTCCTTCAACTTGATCTACCTCCTCTCTCTCTCCACCTCATCCCCCTCCTCCCACTGCTCCCTCCTCCCTGCCTCCTCTCTTTCTCCACCTCATTCTCCTCCCACCTCTCCCTCCCCTCAGCTCTCCCTTCCCCCATGTCCTCCCCTTTACCTCCATTCAGTCTCTCCTCCCACCCCTCCTTCCTCCCTTTTCTCTCTTCTCCTCCTTCCTCCCTCTCCCTCCTCCCCTCACATACTGGCACAGCCACTGGGGCAGACATGCACCCCCAGAGCCTTCCCAACAGTCATCAGGCATCTCCCCGCCTCCACAGTACGTGCCCAAGGATTGCACAAGAGTTGTTCCGGCCCTCAGGGCTTGGGCTGGGGGCCCAGAACTGTCCCGGAGCCCACCCTCTCAGGAGGCACCCAAAAGCGGCCCCTGGGGCTGGGGAAGGGCTGAGGGGTCTGATGGACCCACGAAGCAGAGCCCAGGATTGAGAGCTGAGGTCAAGAGTGGTTGAGCCCGGCCTGTGGCCTTCTATGGGCTGGGCTGGCTCTTCCTGCGACGGCTCCCACCACCCCTGCCCATCTTCTTGGCTTCAGGTGGAGAGAAAAGTGGAGTGGGGTAGGGGCAGGCCTGGCTGGGGCCAGGGGCCAGCACTGAGTCTGGCTCCAGGTGATGTCAGGCCCGGGGTGACTGTGGGGGTGTCTCCTGAAGCGAGGGTGCCCCCCTTCTCTAAGGCTGAGCTGGGGCAGGGATGGGAGCTGCCTTCATCCGGGAAAGCTGAGTCAGGGAGCAGGCTCTGCAGCCGACCCTTTACTGCTAACCCTCCCTGGCTCAGCACTGAGGGGTGGAAGAAAGGGGTAATCTCCAAAGGCCCAGATGTGCCCCTGCTCAGGGCTACAACTGTCACTGAGTCTGTCCCCACTGTCTCAGCCCACAGTCCTCCCTTGGGGGGATTTCTGCGCCCTCACTCCTAGACGCGGTCTCTCCCGTCCAGGCCCAGACCAGGTCCTGCCAGCCCCAGCCTCATCCTCAGCTGCGTTCTCCTCTCAGCCCTATTCCCTGTCCTGGCCCTCCTGGACCCCCGGGCTGCCCAGCCCTGACTTTGACCTTAGCACCTTGTCAAGCCCTTGTCCCAGTCTTTACCTAACCTTACCAGCTCCTGACCCTGAACTTTACACTAGCCCTTTCCCAGCTGCTGCCCCAAACCCTGCCTAGCCCTTACCCCAAACCCTTGCTCCAGCCGTTAGCTGACGGCTTGCCTTGCTGAAGGCCTCCGCCTTCCAGAGGCGAGTAGGCCTGCGACCCAAACTCTGGTCACCAGCAGCCATGTCCCCTGTGCCAGGCCCCATGCTGGGTGTCAGGGGCCCAGAGTTACTTTGACCTCAGTTTCCAAGAGCCCCTAGGCTGTGAACTGAGACCTCTGACCCTTCACACCTTCCTTCAACCCCCTCCTCTTCTGCTGACCAGCTAGCCCGTGCCTTTCTCCCCATCAGCTCTGCGCCTGTCTACCACCCTCACCAGCTTCATCCAGAGCCCTGCCCTGGAGCTGGGGCCTGCCACCCAGCTGGTCTATAAATATCTGTTCAGGCCCCACCGATCACAGCCCCGCAAGGGCCAGCCTCAGTTCGCTGGGCAAACTCGGAGGAAGCCCCTGGCCCCCTCTCTGGGTCCCAGGCCGGGAGTTCCAGGGAGGAAACACCAACTTCCCACTGATAGCGAGCCGGGGGGGCAGTGGGTGGGCTGCCGGGCTGGTGGGTGAGTGATCCAGGACCCCAGGCTGGGCTGGCGAAGGAATCCCAGTACTCACAGGGGCAACGAGGGGAAACCCTTCCATTTTGCACGCTTGTAACATCCAGCCGAGCTCCAAGCCAGTCCGGTCCCCTGCCTCGGTGGGGGCCACTGCAGAGCCCCTTGGGATGGGGCGCCCCGTCGGGGGCTGGACGGTCGTGGGGCGGGCACAGGGTTCAGGCCTGCCCCCTGTGCTCCAGGAGCCCTGGGTGAGCCCCCTTCCTTGACATTGCAAGGGCCAGCACAAGTTCCTGATTTTATCGAAGGGCCTGCCACTGGGAGATAGTCCCCTTGGGGTGACATCACCGCCCAGCCTGTTTGCATAAATCTCTTGTGCTACCGGAAGTCTCTCTGGGCTGGCTGGGGCAGGTGGTGCTCCAGGGGCTGGCCTGGGAGGCCATGGGGGCCAGGCCCCCTGCCCAGAGGAAGCTGGGACTGTGAGGGGCAGCCTTGGGGGCTGGATAGAGGGTGGGAGAGAGGAAGACTGACTCTACCACCAGAGTCCCTTTGCCGCTCCCAGGCCCTCCTGAGGTTCTGTAAAGCCGATCCCACAAGGGCCTGGTCCTCTTGAGACCCCACGTGGCCAACAGTCACTTCTCTGGGATCAGAGCTGGTAGGAGTGGTCCCTGTTGGGGTCAGCCTGGCTTCCTGGGAGGGCACTAGGCCTTAGCATCCGTGTTCTGCCCAAGCTGGACTGGGCGCAGGACTGGGGCCCTCAACTCTGTGCCCTTCTCTCCTTCCCCCTCAGCCCTTTCTCCCTGAGAATGAGGGTCCTGGATTCTCACACCTTCCCCTCCAGCTTTCCTGAGCCCACAGCTTTTTCAAACCCCTCAGGCTCTGTTCCCAGCTCAGGCCTCGTCGCCACCAACCTCTTGCCAATGCCTGAATTCCAATCCAGCCTTCCTGTTTGCAAGCCTTTCTTGTACACCTATCCATTTATCTATTTTCCCATCCATCTGTTTGTCTGCTCATCCATTCGTCCATCCATCCGTTCACCTATTATACTAGTGATGCCTTCATTTGTTCATCTATTTATCTGTCAGTCTGTCCAACCTATCTATTTGTGTGGCCATCTATATGTTCCTATGTCAGTCCACCCAGCCTTTATCCATAAGTTCCTACTTCAGCCTGCTGTCTGTGTCGACTGCCAGTCTGCTAATCTGTTGGTTCATCTACTCATCCATTCACTCATTCATTCATCCCTTCATCCAGTTAGCCAGCCAGTATTCCCTCAACCCATCCATCTGTCTATCTGTTTATCTGTCTATCCATCCACTCATGCGTTCTGTCAAAATTCATTGAGTTCCAGGCCTCATGCCAAATGCTAGAAAAGCTAAAGTATTGGCAAGATCCGTGCCTTCAGCGAGCTCCTGACCTAGTCCTGAGGGTGGGGAAATGAGGGGGCAGTTTGTAGAGGCCCCTTTGCCCCATTGACCTCTGTCAAGGGCACTCTGTCGGTGGAGAACTTCTTGAATATTCCTTGTGCCGTCTAAGCCATTGCACCATAGCTTCTTCCCACAGGTTAGTCCGCCCCTCCCTCCCAGCTGACTCTGAGGCCTCCCAGTGTTTCTTCACCAGGAACAAAGGCCAGGGCTCCCCAGTACTGATTTCACGCCCATCTGCAGTCACTTCTGCACTGCACATGGAGGTCTCCAAGAGGTCAAGGCCACAAGTCCCCACAGCTCCTTAGAACCCTGGTTACAGCCCCTCCCCAAGAAGGGAGGAGAGGTGGGACTAACTTCATTCTCACACCCTGCATGTACATCAGCAAGGCTCAGGTGACAGGCTGTGTGGGAAGGGACCATTGATTGACTGTGACAACCAGGTCCCACCCCATGTCTTCATCAACCACTCTGACATTCATTATCTTCTTCTTTCTAATGTTTATTTAGCCATTAAATCACCAGCTGTTCTGTAAAATAGAAGCTCTTTTTATTTTTTCCACCTGCAGAGTTTGCATCGCATCTGCATCTTTTGTCGGGTAGCAGTCTTGGACAATCCATTCAGGGAAGATGGCTTAGTCCCACTCGATGAAGCCTGTATCCTTTGAGTGTGGATGGGAGTCCTGGTGGTTTGCACCAAGCTGGGCTTCCAATCAGACCAGGCCTCTCTGAACTCACACAGTGAAAGCACCAAACCTGGCCTGGATCCCGAGGGTGGCTCGAGGGCAGCCGCAAGAGACACATTCTACTTTGAGAGGCCACCCCAAAGCAAAAGGCACCCGCTACTTTAGTAAATGTCTTCCATCTGCTGTGCCTTGTGTTTGCTAGGGCATATCAAGTCACCCTCCACTCACATCGAATCCACGTGAGAGACCTGCCCCTTTGGGTTTTCGAGGTGGTCGTCTTTACAGGAACAGAACCCCAGATTTTTTTCAGGCAGGAGCTCATGGGTGGATTTGAACCACCAACCTTGCAGTCAGCAGCTGACCACTCAACTGTTGCACCACCAGCAGTCCCTGCTGGGTTCAGTGAGAGGACAAGAACATGAATGAGACTTGCCCCAGCCTGCCAGCTGTTCACAGACCTACAGAGCAAATAGACACGTCAGTAGATAGCAGGATTCTTCATGGAGGGACCGCACACAGATTTAAAGTGCCAGCTTTATTGGGGAGTGATTTGATCAAGACCAGAGAGGTCGTGGAGTCTAGGCAGTGCTCACAGGAAAGGGCATGGCTGGCTGAGGTATCAGTCTGGCAAAGGCACGGAGGTGGGAGAGGACCAGGAGACAGTCAGCACACATTTTCGTGATAGGTGATGGTGAAAGCAGGTGGCAAGGCAGGGCGACAGGAGAGCCTTGAGTGCCAAGCCCAGCACCTGGCTTGTATCCAGTGTGCCGTGGAGCCTGTGGTGGTTTTAAGCAGAGAATTGATGCGTTCAGTGGGGGCAGGCGCTGTGTTCCCTTAGGCTGAAGCCCCACGGATGGTCCCAGGAGGATGGAAATCCCTTCTCCCATTTCTGGTCCAGTCTGTAGGCCCTGAGGAGAAAGTCCATGAAAGATCTAGAGAGGATCCCACTACCACCTCTGGTCCTGACCAAAGAGATCCCGAGGAGAAATGTGGAAACAGTTAAAGGTGATGGTTGAGCAACATTGTAAACATAATTATGGCCACTGGATTGTGCAGGTGAAGATTGTTGAAATGTTTTGTTACATATATAGTACTGTTTATGAGTCCATTTCAATTCATAGTGTCCTTTATGACAGAGAATAACTGCCTCATAGGGTTTTCTAAGCAGGTATATTAATGGGAGCTCTGGTGGCCTAGAGGGTAGTGGATTGCACTACCAACCCAAAGGTGGCCAGTTTGAATCCACCAGTCACTCAGTGGGAGAAAGGTGGATAATCTCTCATGTGACATACAGTCTCTGAAAACCTGCTGGAGGATCAGCTGTGAGTGGAATTCAACTCAACAGTGATGAGACAAAGTATTTATGGGAGCGGATTTCAGGGTGGATTCAAATTGCTAACCTTTTAGCTAGAAGCCAAGCAAGCCCTTAACATTAAGCTATCATGTGTTTACCTCATTAAATAGAGATTCCAGAGACAAGAAGCTCTGGAAACGGGCAGAATGCCTCCTGGTCTGGGGGCAGCACCAGTGTCCTAGCTCCTTGGCATCTAGCAAATGCTCCCAAAGCACAGCAAAGGCCCCTTCCCCAGAACTCCCTGATCCCAAATCCTTCTGAGCAGGGCTCAAATTGGAAGCAATGAGGCAAAGTAGTGAAGGCTCAGTCATTCACAATCCTGAGGCTAAGCATACCTTGTCGTTGTCGTTGTTGTGTGCTGCTGAGTGGGAACAGATGCATAGCTGACCCTCCAGTGGGTTTTCAGAGGCAGGAAATCATGATAGTGATTTGATAAATGATGATAGTTATAGAAAGGCTTCAGGCCTTTTGTTCTTTGAGTCACTATGAGTCATGCTCGACTTGACGGCAATCAACAACAACAACTCACACGGGAGGAGACTGCCCGTCCTTCACCCATGGAGCAGCTGGTGAATTCGAATCCGTGCCTTTGGGATTGCAGTGCAGCTTCTTACCACTTTGGCCCCCGGAGCTCCCTTGATAAGTCACTTTTTTAGTGTCTGCTATGTGTCCGGAGAGCTCTGGTGGGGTGGTCTGTAGTCAGTTTTACTTCTCATCCAAAGGCTGTTTGACTCAGCTGGTTCAAGTCCGCCAGAGGTTCCCCAGGAGAAAGGCGGGCAACGTCTTCCTACCGCTATTTCCAGCCTCAGAACCCCGCTGGAAGACCTTGTGAGTTGGAATGGGCTTGACGCCAGTAAGTCTGAGGTTGAGTTTGACTAGGTGTCCTGTGCCAGGCGAGGTACTTTGTCTCTATGACAACACACAATCAACACCACCACCGGTGAAGCTGAACAATGAGGTCTCACAGCCCGGGAGGGTGACCTGGGACATAAAGCCTGCCTTCTGGGGTTCCGGGAAGGGAAGGGTCAGAAGTAGGAGGGGTTGAAGGTCTGCAGATCACAGACCTGGGGGGTACAGAATGGTGAAGAGGAGAGAGGAACCAGGTCAAAGATGGGGAGCAGAGAGAGGGAGAGGACAAGTGAGAGGGGACAGGGACTGCAAGCAGGTGGCTGGGGGAGTTGGGGTTTTGCTGTGAGGTGCTGTCAAGTTGATTTCTGTTCACAGAGACCCTACAGAACAGAGAACAAGGGCCCTGTTGGCTTTCCTCCCCTGGAATCTCTCTACAGGAACGAATCTGCACGTCATTCTCCTTCATGGGTTTGAACCCCAACCCTTCAGTTAGTGGCTGAGTGTTTAGCCATTGCGCCACCAGGGCTCCTTGACGGTGCCTTAACAGAGGACACCCCCCCCCAGCCACCTCCTGCAGCTGAGAGGGCCCCTGACTCACCCGGCCACACCAGGGCGTGCCTTAGCCTCCCTCTTGTTGGCAGGAAACTGATCTGACATACGAAATCTTGGGAGCTTCAGGAAATGAGAAATAAAAAAAAAATTTAAGTTATTTTTTCTTCTAAATAAGTATTTTTTCATAAAAAAATGGAGGCAAGGATTCTGAGGCTCTAACATACTTTGGACATGTTGTAAGGAGAGACAGGTCCTTGGAGAAGGACATCATGCTTGGGAGGGCGGAGGGACAGCGCAGGAGGGAAGGCCCTCTGTGAGGTGGATTGATTCAGTGACTTGGGTAATCGGGATGAGTGTGTCAGAGACTGTGCGATTGGCACAGGACAGAGCAGAGTTTAGGGCTGTTGTACATAGGGTCGCTATGAGTCGCAAGCAATTTGACAGCACATAACAATAATA